ATATATATATATATATATATATAAAATGACAATATGCTAAATTCTGAAGAAGCATCTTAATACATTTTTAATTAACATAATATAATAAAAATATTAATTAAAAATTGCACAAGACATATAAAGATATACAAGTCAAATTATATATATATATATATATATATATATATATGTAATCATCTCACTCATTTAAATGCATTATTATGTTTTATTTATTACATTTATTAAAAATGTTTCTTAAGAATTCTGCAGTTCTTTCTTTTTACAATTTTGACTTGTATATTTTACATATTGTCATGGGTATTTGTAAGATGTTTCTTGCTATATCTTAAATTGGTTTCTATATTCAGGTTTATATAAAATTAAGCTGTTTTAAGATGTGTCTTGTACAATTTTTTTAATTCAAGTCTATTGGGAAAACAAGGTTGTTTTAAAAACTTCTGTGTATGTGTGCAATTTCAGATTTTGTCTTTAAATCTTCCTGTGTGTCTTCATTGTGTAGTTTTATTATTATTTTTATATTGACGTTCTTGTGCACTACAAAATATTTTATTCAAGTTTAGTATTATTTGTTTATTGCAATCAATAAATGTTTATTATTATTATTTATTTTGTCCTTTGTTTGATAATTTTTGTTATTGGATATGTATGCTGTTTGCATTTTATTCAAAGGTTGAACGCAGTGCCTACACTTTGCCTTTACATTATAGCCTGCGTTTGCTGGTATATAAATTCAAATGGTTGTAATACCATGTATCAATTACCAATATAATACCAAAAGGTTTTGTATCAAGGTATATTGAGTTGCGCCAGCTCCGGGCTGCAGCGCACATTACTCGCGGGCCGATTCTGGCTTGGATGCGGCAGCGAATCTAGCTGGAACTGGCCCAAGTGTATTTTACTATCTAGGGTGGCTCTTAAAGTGACAGCGCTTATATTCCAACTGCTTATTATTATATTAAGCAAACAAAATCAAATCAAAACCAAAATAATAGTAATAAATCGTTCATTTTGAACTGAAGGTTTATACAGTGGAACACTTATTACTAAAGTAAGATCCTTTACTGGCAGTTTTAATATCATATTTATCCATGACCAGCCAAGGTACCAGCACAAAACATGTAATTATGCAAGTATAGATTTTGAAATAAATTACAACAAATACTAAGATTTATATCTCAATGCAACTAGTAATTCAGATTGATTGCCCTAATTGCCCTGCTGAAAAAAAAAAAAAAAAAAACAGCATATGCTGGGAAGGTATGTTTTGATGCTGGTATGCTGGTCTTGCTTGTTTTAATGCTGGTTTTGCTGGTCTTAATGCTGGTTTTGCTGGTCTCAATGCTAGTTTTGCTGGTCCTAATGCTGGTTTCAATGTTGGTCTTGCTGGTCTCAATGCTGGTCAGGAGCAGCACTTAGACCAGCAAAACCAGTAAGACCAGCAAAACCAGCATTGAGACCAGCATCAAAACATACCTTACCAGCATACGATGTTTTTTCAGCAGGGTGTTGTGAATAATTTATGGGATATTCTAAGGTTATTAAAATTGATAGTGTAAATTAATCTCAGAGATGTGCTGTAATTGTTATATATTTAATATAATTGTGTTTCCTTTTCATGTGATTAATTTGACTTAGTGTTTGTGTTTTTTTTTTTTTTTTTTTTTACAGATACACTACCTCGTTTTTGTACTTTAGTGAAGTACTGCAAGAAAATGAATGTTTTGGTAAAATGTATGTCTTTTTTTGCCATGTGTGTTTACTCCGATAACATTTTATTTATTAGTACTAATTTCCAATTGTATTTTTTTGGTTCATTCAACTTCTGTAGTTTCAGACCATTCAGACAAGAAATTTTCAGTCAGCACAACTTAAAAAAACAGAGCCATGTGTGTTTGCTCGGATAACATATAATTTCTTAGTACTAATTTCCTTTTGTATTTTCTTGTTCTCTCAATTTCTGTCATTTTTGGCCATCCAGACAAGAAATGTTCAGTTAACACAACTTTTGCTCTGGTAACATAAAATTTCTTAGTACTAATTTCCTTTTGTATTTTCTTGTTCACTCAACTTCTGTCATTTCAGGCCATCCAGACAAGAAATGTTCAGTTAACACAACTTTTGCTCTGGTAACATATAATTTCTTAGTACTAATTTCCTTTTGTATTTTCTTGTTTACTCAACTTCTGTCATTTCAGTCCTGCAGACAAGAAATGTTCAGTTTGCACAACTTAAAAATATTTGTTGTGCTGCAGGTGCAGGTTTCCAGAAAACTACTAATGTTAAGTTGACTCAACTAGACATTTTTTGTTTCACTGACAAATTATTTTCAGTCAGTGTAGCTGATGTTTTCAAAAGTTGAGTAAACAAGAAAAAACAGAAGGAAATTAGTACTAAGATTTTTTTTGTTGAACTGGCTTAAAATTTTTTACAGTGAAGAGTTTAGGTAAACATCAGGATCATTGATAATATTGCAATGCAAATAAACATTTAATCTTTTAAATTGAACAAATGATTTAAGGCAAATTAAAATATTTCAAACAAATTATCAAAAGATAAAGTTAAACCTTTAACAATTTTTATGATACATTGCAGAGATAGGTGGTAAAAATATTATGTCCTCATCTTTTTCAATCAAGCAGGAAATACATTTGTGACTACAAACTTAGCCGTTAACTTATAACTGACACATGTACGAGTAAGATAGCCCATGCTAGTGGTGTTCTGCCAGCTAATTCGGAAAGAGTCATAACATTTAAGACGAATGATTTGAGACAGAATAATTCACATTCACCAAAGCTATACTAGACAAACAAAATGACAATGTTTTTTTTGTAAAAGTACACAAAACAAAGTAGAAACATAATCTGGCAATATATCTAACATATTTCGATCCTACGTTTGCGATAGTTGTTTTAAGATTAATGTTAAATTCCGTACTTTCGGTAAGGCCGCATGGCGCTTGCAAAACTGACAAACTTAACCGTTACTGTCATGAAAGGCGACTTGTTTACATTTTACAGTGCAATAAATGCGTGCTCAGTCGGCTAAAACCTAACTTTATGCAATGTAAACAGTTACTTACATGTGTTGCACGTTGTATAAAGCCCTCAAAAACTCCACAGAACGTCGAAACTGGTCCGGTCATGCGTCATGTGGGCGGGTCGTGAAGTTTTACTTTGGATATAAACACTTAAATAGAGTTTTGTAGAAGCAATTTATTTTGAAGGTCAGTAAAACACAATTTTTTGATGGGTAATATTAAGTTACAAAAACAATCGCAATTTTTACTTATGTAAAACTTAAATTAATTCAAAATGGAAAGGTAATCAATTTATTGGAAGAAATATACTTTTTAAAATTAATTCCTATGGACAACACCCTTGAAGAACTTTTTACAGTGTATGGTTTTTCACACTTGAGATCAATTTCTGTAGCCATACCCAGGCCTGATTACTTCCACACCTGTTCACAATCAAAAAATCACTTTGCTGCCTGGCAAAGTAAAGTAGACCTAAAGATCCACAAAAGCTACTAGACATCATGCCGAGATTCAAAAAAAAAAGAAGTCAAAAACAAATGAGAAAGAAAACAATTGACATCTACCAGTCTGGAAAGATTACAAAGCAAATTCTAATGCTTTAGGACTACAGCAAACCATCCAAGGTGAGAGCCAATATATACATGTCAAAAAAATGGAACAGTTGAGAACCTTCCCAGGAGTGGCCTGCCA